TTGTCATTTCCCAGTATAGGCAGTAATATGAATCGTACATGAAATGTCAATAACTAATATAAACGTATTATAAAGTTAAAACAACAATTGTCTAGTAATAATAAACATAAACTATATAATTCAACTATCTTTACTCTAGACTTTACATTTTACTGTATAATGCAGTTTGCAAGCAATGCCATTTGGCTATAGAGTCTAGTAGAGCCTCTCGTCTTTGTGATTGAGATCGAGGCTTGGATAATCTCACGAAAACGAGGTTCTATAGTCAAATGACGTAATTTCCTGAAGGGTGTATTATAGCAAGATTAAGGCAATCACACATGTTAGATATTGCATAATAACACAGGGATTTTTTAAGTTTTGACTTTGTACCTGATTGGACTTTTTGTATTTAAAACATTATTACACATAGCCGGCCATGCAAAAAAAAAGCAAAAGCAATCACCAATATAATTATATGGATACGAAATAATGCCTTTCGTGTTTATCTATATTTTGGCAACAAAATTAACTTCATATAACAGGTTTTACTGCTGTATTTCCTTGACATTTCAACCATAACACGAAAAGTCAATTACTACATGTCTAAATTGACAAATGCGTGTTGTATTCACAAAATGGTAAATTTAAGTTACTTAATGATATTTAACAATGGGATGAACATTAATGCAACAACAAAAAAACTAAGCAGTCATCATTCACATACAAGTATTCATAATTCACATACAAGTATTCATAATATTTTTGCTTACCATTCGCCTTTTAATCTTGTATGACGGAACTTTCTCTAAGCCTCATTTTAGTAATTCTGTGTTTGAATAATTAGAGTTACACCTTGCCAACCCATCTCTGTATCAGCACCTCAAGAAAGACCAGACTAAGAAGGGGGAAGAATAAATTAACAAGGTTTGGAAATACATTTACCTGAAAAACAAGATTGATCAAAAGTCAGCTGAACGTCTTGTTTCGACACATAGTGTATGTCCAGTTATCTACCTGCTTACAAAGACCCACAAATTGAAATTGTATCGTTGAGAGATCTTGATGCTGAAGATATCAAGGTTCGTCCTATCATTTCGGGATGTGAAAGCCCTGCTGATAAAATTTCGTGGTTGATTCACAAGATTTGTGTTCCACTCCTTAAGCATGTGAAAGCCCATTTAACCAACACCGGTGATCTACTGGCAAAGCTTCGAAGCCTAAAGCAAGATGATTTGAAAAATAAAATCCTTTTCAGCCTTTATGTGGTTTCTTTATACCCGAGCGTAGACAACATGGAAGCCGTTGATACCCTTCATGATTACCTGTACCAACACAGAAGAGACCTACAGTTGTATGGCATTCCTATTCCAGATATTGTGCTACTGACCAAGATTGTGCTAAGCAACAGTTGTTTTTCCTGGAGTGGTACATACTTGAAGCAACTACGAGGATTGGCAACGGGGAACCGGTTGGCACCTATACTGGCCATCCTTTACATGGACAGAATAGAAAATCAAGCTATATATGCAGATAGGAGTCTCTCCACCAAACCCTACCACCAGTATATTAACGATTGCATTACAACAGCACAGGATAACAATGAAGCGAAATCGATACAGGGAATCCTGAATGCACAAGACCCTTCAATTAAATTCGAGATTGAATTGCTGGACGAAGAGTGTGCTCTTCCGATCTATTTCTCAACACCAAAGTCGAGTAAATCCCGATGGCACTTTGGACACGGCATGGTACACGAAACAAGCAAACAAACGAATGTTTCATGCATCATCTCACCATTCGAAATCAATGAACGTTGGAGCTATTCAACACACACTTAAAACGATTTTGCTGATTTCGTCCGATAATAATCTTAAAGCAACAGCTGAGAGCGAATTCAGAAATCACACCATCCGAAATGGCTATGCAGCAGAAACCATCACAACTGGCAACCTAAGCACACACAAAACAAAGAAATCCTCAAATACACCAAATCCAGATGCTTGCTTGGTAATCCCATTTATTTCGGAAGAATTTACCACGGATCAAGAAAAAAGGCTTGAACATCAGAGTGATACAGCGCCCGGGAAAGTCCCTTAGAAGCATGCTTGTCCAATCCCGTCCGTATGATAGCCATTGCTGAGCTGGTCCGAAATGTAAGTTTTGTCAAGTTTGCGACAAGAATATGTGCTTCCGGGAGGATTTGGTCTACTACATAAAGTGCGGTTTATGTGACAAGAATCATGGAATTTATGTGGGGGAAACCAGCAGACCATTAGCTGCGAGGTTCAATGAACATCTTCGGTCTGCAAGGAATCCCGATGTGAAATCTTACCAACACATGGCATTGGGACGAAAGGAACATTGGAAAGAAAGATCACAGAGGCATTTTACATTGAACGAATCCAACCTGACCTGAAAGGATGAGCTGCAGGAAGTTAAGGAATTTTGTATATAGTTTAATTAATTAATTACAGACGCAGACACCTACACAAAATCTTTAACGCTCTCACAGACACGCAATGAACAAAAATTAAGCGCGCACACGGACACAAGTTAGTTTGAAGCGCACATCAGCTATTATACGCAATCCTAACGGATTTTGTCTAAATTTGTAATTGTTTTTAAAGTTTTATATCTTTAGTTACTTTTAACCTGAAGATGGAGTTATACTCCGAAACATAGTTATTATAAATATAATCTTTTTGTACTAAGCCTATATGGTCTAATTATTCAAACACAGAATTCGCACTTTTAGTAATTGTAAAGCAGTTGGTCTATCAGCCATGTTATAATTTAGACACAAACTAATATTATACTTGGGCATTGGCTTCAGTTTTACAAGTGTATGAGGTAATAATAATGGCTTCTGTGCTGATACTAGCTTTTCGACTTCTGATACTGCCTGGATGTCTTTAAGTACTGCATCCCATGCATCATCTAATGTAAGAAACTCCAAAAGCATTAATCCTAAGGACTAAATATCACTACATATTTAATAGGCCGACAAGCGTTTTCCGACGAGCACTTTCATGCCGGGTTTTCGTTGAGGAAGCACAAAGAAATATTGATTATTTGCCGAAAATTTACATAATTGAGCGCCTTAGAAAAATAAATCGAGGTAGGTAAAGCTTTACTATTTTTAACTTACCTTATATTCTGTTATTTGTGATTTTGGAGCCGTTGTGCTCGCACTGATTATTTATCAATTATCAGGCGTTTATATTTATATATCGTGAAAGACTCAAAGCCCACGCTATCAAAACACTCGATTTTTATATACTCAAACTGAAACGGAGCCATTGTGCTCGCACTGATTATATTCTGTGCGAAGCTTCAAAACTACAGCACATTTTGTATATTTTTAAATATAAATATCAAACAAAATTTGAATTATAAATAGTATTGAAATTTAATACAACGAAATAGCAACCATTGTGAAGTACGCATAAGATTCAACATGACATTCAGCATGACATTCGATATAGTGTAAATTAACTCATTTCAATCACTCAAATGACCATACAGGTCATATTAGCTGACTAGTACCTTTATGCTTTTTCTACTTCGCCAATTTCAATCATAGTTTAATTAATAATCATTTTCAATCTATTATAGTAATTCACCGTTTCCACGGTTTTTATACCTTTAAAAAGTTACAATAAAGCTAAATCTATAGGAAATAACATTATTTAGTTATAAATTTGTAAAGGAAATCTAGCAGTCAATTGCTTTCGATAAAACCTTGACTGACCTTGACCTTGAAATAAACTGTCGCTTGCAACTAACGATGAACGGTCGCTCATAAAAACATTGCCTATCGTGTGAGAATCTTAAGTTTCCTATTTTGACATAAAAGCTATTTTTTCAATAAATAACATAACATAACAGCTATTTTTCAATATTATTAAACTGGTTGATTCAATATTTTAAGTTTCACGCCAGTTGTACCAAAGGTTATAAGCACTATATCTCATCATAAGTTTCAGAAGGCATGCAACATGTACGCACTGCGTACCTATTTTTCAATATTTAGTTCGTTTCAATAGGATGGACCTTTGCTACATAAATTACATATGAGCAAATGTTTCTTTACCCTGGTTCCATAGGCTCTTTGTGAGGCGAGAATGGAAAGCCTCTGTCACATCAATTTCAAATGTGATGTAATGTAATTGTTGTTTGCAGTGCACATTATGAAAGTGAATTATCTCATTAAGAAGTTACATTACAGTTTTCTGAGTTCTTTCAAATACATCAACAAAATATTTTGCATCATATATACTTTAACCCAATAGGCTGCAGAGTCTCCCCACTCTGACAAGTAAAATCGTATGGAGCTAGACAAGTAAAAAAAAATAAGTAGGGCACACTGCAGCTGAATGGGTTAATGCAATATGTTAGGTGTTTGCATGATTATTTTACACTTTTTGGAGAACCTCCCATCTTTTTCTCACAAAAGCTATGGTTAGCAAGAAGCATATAAGTATTCTATTAGCATTTCATGGCTGGGCTTTTTTATAGGCATTTGGATGGTAACTATAAGCTTATCCAGCCATACAGAGTAGTAATCCATGGTGGCATAGATGGGTATTCAAGATTGGTGGTTTTCTTACATGCCTCTACCAACAACCAAGCCTCCACAGTTCTAGAATGCTTTAGAGGAGCTGTCAACCAGTGTAATCTTCCATCACGTGTCAGAACGGATTTGGGATTGGAAAACATAGAGGTGGGGCGTTTCATGCTACAATCTAGGGGGGGGGGATAAACCGAGGCAGTATCATTACCGGCACTTCGGTCCCAATCAACGAATTGAACATCTTTGGTGTGAAGTGAATAGCATTGTGTCCAGTCGTTTCGTGAATATTTTTGTGTGTCTTGAATCTTTTGTTCTTGATACAACAAGTGAACTTCATTTCTTTGTTTTAAACCTTGTTTATATACCCCTCATTAACCAAGCTCTGCAGGAATTAAGGGAATCATGGAACAATCACTCGTTAAGTACAGAACGCAACCTTAGCCCCATGCAGCTTTGGGTTCAAGGTATGATTAGCAGTAGAAACTCTCATTACAGTGCTGTAAGAAGTGTGCAAGATGATCTGCAAGTTAATTCGGATGATTATGCGATTGATGAAGATGGACCTGCGGCAAATGTAGAACCAAACTATAACATCACAGTTCCAGAAACAAGAATAAACTTGCAGGATGAACATTTTCAACACATGCAAGAACTGGTCAGAGGAGTTATAAATGCAGCAGGAGACCAAGATGGTGTTATTTGCTTTCATGTAGTGTTACATACTCTGGAACAATTAGGTTATCAAACTGAAAGTTAAACATTTTTTACTATTAAAAAATATACACTGGTGAAGCAAGCCACGATATTTGGTCCTAAATGTTTGGTTCAGGATATTTGGTCTTTGAATATGCATAATGAAAACACAATAGATTTCTAAAGATGTGGGTTGTGTACTTGTGTTGATAGTGAACTTAAGCAAGTGACGTTTTTGACAACACGAACGGCATGAGTAATGTCAGAAATCAAATTTTTTATATGTATCCACTCCACTTGGCAACTCTAGTTGCATGGGACACATGTTGGCATTTGGAAAAACAGACGAGTTTTGGAGAATGGTAATGACGGATGGTTTGTAGAAACCCATGGGTGGTATGTAATTTGTTCCAGTAGTAAACATCAGTATGCCAGGAACTCTGGACTCTATGAATAGGTATAAAAATAATAAAGATGACAATAATTATAATATAGCATTTGTAAATTTTAGTTGCTGCGTGAGTATTGTTAGGATGCTGAATACTATATACTGGTAATAGAGAAAATTTATTGTTATAACTGTCACACACCAACACTACTGAAATAATTTTTAAAATCTAAATTGCACGGGTTACCTGCTTCACGAACATAACGAGTGAAATACTCTTTCATTCTTTCGTCAACATCATCATAGTCAACAATTGAGAAAAGGTCTTCAGATAAAGGTGGTTCACAAGCCCCAGCGACAAAAAGTGGTTCAAACTTTTCTGGGTGATTTTTAATTTTCCACAAAAGTGGACCCAGACCTTCCATAAACTGATCTACCTCAGCTTTTCTGGAAAGAATCACTGCATGAAGAACTAGAGATATGGCCTGAAACCGATTCTCCAAGCTAAGAGAGTGTGGAAAACCAGATTACTGAATTCTTGTTGTCTTTAGTCATGCCGTCCAACTACAATGAAGGAGAATGGGAGATTCTCAAGGCAAGCATTTTGACCTTTAAACCTAATGTTTATATGTTAACACTTGGATTCATTGTGCAGTTCGAGAATATTAATCTAATTTGGGACTGCTTGAAAGCAGAAAATTACCTTGCTCAATGCATCTAAGCAATCAACATCAACAACATCTACTTTACCAATGTAATCAATTAAATCATTAGGTTCCTGCTTCTGGAAGTATTTGTATAATCCTATTGGAAAATTTGGAAATCCCGGTCCACCTTGCATGATTGATGATGCAACCATGCGCCCAGCAACTTTATACAAATTTGAACGAAGGGCATCTGTGTTATGCACGGGTAAGAATATATTATCTCTTCCTTCGAATAAACGAATGGAAGCAGATGATGACAAAAGCTCCCTTAAGAGAATAGTGAAAAATTCTCTTTTCGGTCCCCCTCCATCAATGGCAGGTTCCCCTTCAAAAGGTGATTTTAAGAGGCTACGTGAAATCAAATTTTTGCTTAAAAATCGAGATGCTGTCTGTAAGAATGGATGATCGGTTCACTGTCAATTACATTTATAGCGCGCCTAGTTCTGAAACATGTTCGTTGGAATACTTGGCAAGTGTTGCAGAAAATGTCGACAAGTTATAATTACAGTGATATAGACACATTAGGTAATATTACGACTTTTTAGCTTTGGGATTTTTGCTTGTTTCATTCTCATTTTGTTTGCATTTTATCATCAGTTGCGTTCAGTTTAACCCATTGAGTCGCATTGCACCCTGATGCACCCTACTTCAGTATTTTACTCTGTCTAACGCCAGAGTATTTTACTCTGTCTAACGCCAGACGATTTTACTCATCAAGGGGAGAGCGCCGGCACTTAATGGGTTAAAAAGTATAAACGTAATTTCACTTGGGGAAATCAACACTTGCATATGATTGCAAATTGCAATTTGCAAATGTTGCAAACTTTTACAGTAATATATTTATAAACTTTTATACTGGCCTATCTGCCCATGTGTCTAGTTAACCCATTGAGTAGCATTGCACCCTGATGCACCCTACTTTAGTATTTTACTCTGTCTAACGCCAGACGATTTTACTCTGTCTAATGCCAGACGATTTTACTCATCAAGGGGAGAGCGCCGGCACTTAATGGGTTAAAAAGTATAAACGTAATTTCACTTGGGGAAATCAACACTTGCATATGATTGCAAATTGCAATTTGCAAATGTTGCAAACTTTTACAGTAATATATTTATAAACTTTTATACAATTTATTTTCAAACTTTTATGATCAATTTAAAATTCGCTTTCCCTCGCTTCCAGTTGTTATTGTTATAATAAGATAAACTCTAAAGTTTTAGAAAACTCTAAAGTTTTAAAGAATTGAAACAAGTGTTTTGAAATACAAACGCGAGAATTAGATAAATGTTTTACCAGTAATATTGTGTATACTTCATTATACTGTAATTTTGAACACAAAACCGAGGACAAACCTTACAGTCATTCAGTGAATAAATACTACAAGTATGAACAAGTATGATGTCATATTACAAAACTTATAAACCCTAACCCTAAATACAAAATGAATCCTAAATACTCATTATCTCTTAGCAAAAAAGTTTAAACTAGAAATCCACAATGTCTGAAGAATTTTCGACAGATTTCTGGTGTGACTTCTTCTAGTCCGCGTAGTATCGTCATTTCAGTAAAATTTACTGAAAAATGTTCGTGTTTTCTCATGAAAGCTTTCATGAGTCGAAAGCTGAATTCACATGTGTTGAATTCAGGAGAATACGGTGGTTGGAAGATTGTCACTCCTCTGTTTTCTAACATTCTTCGCAATTTAGCCTCGGCAAATCGTCCATGGTGAAAGCCACAGTTGTCCATAACAACTGTATCTCCGTTAGCAAGAACGTCGTCGACTATATCAAGTGATTCGTTGAAAACCACGAACATTTCTAGGCCATTGGATGCACCATTCAAAATTCCATAATTTGTTATTCCAAATATACTTTGCAACAAGTTAACAGTGTAATTGCAATTGGAAGCGTAGCGTTTAACCTCTACAGCCGGTTTACCTTTTAGTGCATGACCATATATACGATTTCCAGTTGTCGTTTTAACAGACAATTCATCGAAGAAGTGGACTCGTGAAGGATCAAGTTCACTCATCTGCATGATGTACTGCAATGTACGTTCTCTAACGACTTCAGTCAGCGATTCTTTGGGTATTACTGTAAGTTTTTTGTATGTATAGTTCAGATCGTTTTTGATTATATCCCCAATTGTTGATTTTGCTGGAAGATTGTCAACTGTACATACCCTATCGTTTAGCAAGGCTGCTTGTATTTCGACGGCAGATGTCCTTGGTTTTGATAGCTTTTGAAATTCATGTGTTCAGTTTGGCTATCCCTCTAGGTTTCCCTCCTGGTTTTACAGGTAGTAAATGGCCTCTTTCCATCATGTTTCCAACAATATTCGATACCGTATGCCTAGTTATGCCAAAACGTGTAGCAATATTGTTATTGCTTTCACCTTCCGCCCATAAAGCAATAATGCACCCTCGGGTTGGTAAAGAAGTCTTATTTGCTATGTGAGTCGTCATTTTAGCACTTTGCTTTGGATAATTACAAATGGAAATTTAAATTTTGCGCAGAATATTGGAAATTACAAGTTGCAATTTTGCTCAACTGATTGGTAATTGCTACGACGAACTAGCCAATGAATATTTTCTGATTTACAGCAATGTTGCAATATTCCGCAGGAATGAACATCCGGTTTGACTGTAAATAAGTTCAGAGCAATATACTTAAAGGTATAAATTTTTTAAAAATAAGTTCAGAGCAATATTGCTGGATTCCTTCTTTGCAATGTGTGGACCCGGTTTTTTAACTGTTCTTTCGTTGATGTTGAGTCCGGGAATCTGATGGAATAAAACCTGTGGACATTTATCCAGTCGACTCTCCTTTGTCCTCCTGGTCTTCGGTTTTGACGGACGATGGCTAGAGGTACCTCGTCATTGTTGGCAGCTGGTGGTTGGGGAGGTGGTTGTTGAGGTGGGTTCTGAGGTGGTTGTTGAGGTGGGTTCTGAGGTGGTTGTAAAGGTGGGTTCTGAGGAGGGATCCGGCGTGCTGGTGGGATGGCCGGTTGTCGTTGTGCCACCAAGGGTTTTCTCGTCCACGAACGGTGCGATAACCTGCGAACCTGTAGCCGAGAAGCAACTTTAGATCGCCGAAGATCCTCTTTTCCAGGTTGGACAGTTCTCGTCCCACTGCATGCCTCATGACTCCTGAATGAGTTAGCGACCCTCTGGCGGTTCTAAACAGTCCTTCAGCATATCTGATATATCTCCTCACAGGCACCTTGTTGTACTGGCAATTGACGCCAAATTGTCCAGGGTTGAACAATTGCCTTTCGATTACGTAAGTAACAGCATCAGAAAGATTGTTCATCCTAATGCATATCTCGAGACGTATCCCACCGAGCAGGTTGGGTTGGTGGACAGGATATTCATGATCGAATTAAGGGTCTCGAAAAGGGTTGCACCTTGTCGGGTGGTTACGGGAGAAGTTAGGGGTTCAGGGTGGCAAGCCCTCAGCAGGTGGAATGCAAGGTTGTAAACCTTCATGCTCAGGACTTGCTCGGGGGTTATTCAGGATGATGGTAATGGGTCCGCGGCGGTTTGCGGTCAGGGGTGAGAAGAGGGGATATTGGTCAACATAGATGCCTGGAGGGAAAGGAGCAATAGGTTTGATGAGGAACATGAAATTAATTTCAATTATGCAGTAAATTAATTTCGATTATATTATTTGCAGATGATACCACTATTTCTTACAGTCATAAGTGTCTTAAAACGCTCAATGAAACTATTCAATTACAATTAGACAAAATTTCAAATTGGCTAAATGTCAATAAACTTTCAACAAATATCTCAAAAACAAAGTTTATTGTTTTTAGGTTGTCAAAGAAAAACAAAACTATGATACAACAATTTTGTTAAACAATGAAAATATTGAACAAGCTAAAACAACTACATTTCTGGGTGTGGTCATTGACGAACACTTAACATGGAGTCATGATTTAGATACGATTCACAAGAAATCATGAAGTGTACAGCAATAATATCTAAAAGTAGACATTATATAAATATGAATGCTCAAAAGCTACTATACTATGTCTTATCTGACTTATTGCACTACTATACAAAGCTACTATACTATACCATATCTGACTTATTGCAACTTAATATGGGTAACACATACAAAACAAGAATTCAAAGGTTAGTAAGCATCCAAAAACAGATAATGAGACTAATAACATTTAAATTTTATTTCGAACACACTGAACCAATTTTTAGAGATCTAGAAATATTAAGCATTGAACAAATAAATTACTATCTCACTAGAATATTTATGTTTCGATATAATCATTTAGAAAATCTACCTGAAATATTTAACAATTATTTCACAGCTAATTATGAAATTCACGACCACAACACAAGAAGTGCATCTCAACTTCATAAAACTTTCAAAAGAACTAACTATGCAAAACATACTCTTGCTCACAAAGGAATAAATGTTTGGAATGTTCTCTTCAATAAATACAAAAATATTAAATCTTACACTTCTTTCAAAACATGTATTAAAAAACAATTGTTATCAAATGAAAATGAAATGCAAATTGCATTGATATAAACTGTCCTATTTGTATACATATAATTGATTAGTATCTACTGATTATGAACTGATTATCTTTAGTCTATAACAAATGATGTTTCTGTAAATATATCATAGTCTAGGGGTCTTAAACAAAAGCCTTATAGGTTTCTAGTAGGCCCCTAGCCCTACTATAATAATAAATTAGTAAACTTTTGTAACCATTATTAAAACATTTTTTGGGCGAAAAAAAAAGTAGTATCACTTGACACTAGTGCCTAATACCATTTGGACATGTACATTTTTATTCGACTGGAATATTAGAATATATTTATAATATAAAACTGACATAAAACACACTGTCCACAGTTTAATCCATAGCAAGACAGAGAAGAAATTTTACGTTTTGTGCGATGATTCAAACTTGTGCAAATTTATAATAAAAAATACAAGTTACAAAACACCACAATCATATTTGGCGTTTTGCTAGTTTACCTTGTTCGTATTGCCTTCAGCCTCTGCTCCTTTTGGAGCATGACATTTCCTTCTTTGGCTAATACGCTCGTGTTTATCTTCCTGCCTTTTCTTGGAAACAATATCTAATATTTTTTGCCTTCTCTCCTTCAACGGCTACATGACTACCATGAGCATGCGCAATCAATTTATCAGAAGTCTGAGGTCGCACTCCTTGGCCATCCCCGAGCCGACGGCACAAAGCGCCATGCGAGGGTACTAATTCCCCTTGGCTATTTACACCCAGGGAAACGAAAGCATTAGCGGAGTCTAACGTTCATCAAATATCACGGCCGTGGGTCACCAACGGTGTTGGGTGGGTGGTCATCCTCACTGATCTCAAAAACTAAAAAATATGGCGGACTGTCACGAATAGCGGACACTGATTGGTCCAATTTAAAGTTTGCATTATAACGACTGCATGACGACAGCGAAATAGCAAATATTGCAAATATATTTCATTTTTGCTCGCATTTTTGCAAGATTTTGTAAATTTCAAAGAAAGAAGGGAGCCGACGTTAACGAAGGTAAGTTTGTTTTAAATATTGATTTTATAATGGATTTAAAACCCTACGGCCTTTGCGTATATGAAACAACTAAACAAGACAGCATATAATTTCAGTGTATCTTTACCATTGATTCCCTTTTTTATGATATTGAATTTTTTAAATAAATAGGAAAGCAAAGTTATTTGCAAGCGAGAATTTTAAATCATTTTATTGCAAACTCAAAGTTTATCGATAAACCCATTTTATAATTAAAGGTAGTTAAGTTAAAGAGCACTTTAAAACGTTTTGTGGAGCGTTTGTGGTTGAATTTTACCTTAAATTGAGGCTTATATTACGCATAATAACATACCTAAGATATATATGTTGGGAAATTAATGATTTTGTAATTAAAAGTGATATTTTTAGGCGATTTTTCATTTGTAAGAATATTCTTAAAAAATTATCGTGTTACCATGACAACTATTTTAGAACTTCATGTTCGGAACATACAATGGTTTTGTCAGCAAGGCGAGGGTTTCTGCATGCATGTATTTTCTAGTTACTTCATAACTTAATGACTTATCAATATACATTCCCACTCCACCAGAACTCAAAGGAACGCGAGCTTTCAGATAGGCACGCGAGCTTTCAAATTCTCGAAGAAAGATAAAACCTTTTTTCGCCCAACAGAATTTATATCCATTTGCTTCTTTAAATAACTTCGCTTCACGCAAAAGAGTTTGCAACCGAGGACTTAAGTGGTCATAAAGTTGTAACCCTTCCAATGATAATTGTTCATGGAAGCCAACATCACTAGGAGAGATCTTAAATACATTCTTTCGCGCAGCCATAACCTTTTCCTTTGAAATTCGTCTGGTAAATTTACAAATGATTGGATTAGGTTTGTTCGGGAAATTTCTTCTCGTTGGTACCCGGTGGGCAATATCAATATCATAGGGAGAAATATCTTTTACACCTAGAGCTGTAAATAGACGTAGGCAAATCTCAACTGTTTCGTCAGCTCTTTCATGCTCGCTGACTACAGGCATACCAACTACTTTCACATTGTAATTGAAGCTATAGTCTTCTATCGCCGCTATAGCATTTGAAATTTCTGTATACTTCTTTGATACTTCTTTTATTTCAGCTTTTATCTGGTCAAGTTCCTTCAGGACTTGATCATACTGATTACTGAGGAATTCAACGGATTTCTTTTTCTCAGACGACAAAGTTTCTTCTTGCTCGCCTGATCGATCGGCCATTAGCACTGCTCGCTTCTTTCGTCGACAAGACATTTTGACTTAAATTATCTACTTTTCCACCAATTTTTCAATTTGAATCTTCAAATCTTCATTCTCTTCCTTTAAACGTTTAATATCTGCATTTTTAGACATTGCTAAGAGTAATATAAAGTTATATAAAGCAATAAAGCTGTGAGCCTTTGTTTGTTCACTGTTTAATCACTCTCTGCAATCTGGAACTCTACCTTCTGAATGGAAATCTGCCAATGTTACACCTGCTCATAAGAAAAATAAGAAGGAACCCGCTACCAACTACCAACTACCGACCTATATCCCTGCTTTCCATCATCAGCAAAGTCTTGGAGCGATGCGTTTGTTATCGTTTCTTTCAATATGTTCAGGATATGATTAATAAATCGCAACACGGATTCCTCCATGGTCGCTTATGTGTCACACAACTTCTAGCCACCTTACATCATATTGGACAATTGCTTGACCGTAACGTTCAGACAGATGTTCTTTTTCTTGACTTTGCTAAAGTCTTAGATTCCGTTGATCATACTATTTTATTGAAGAAACTCAGATCTTACGGTATCTCACGAAACTTGTACAATTGGTTTACTGATTATTTGTGTGGTCGTACTCAGTGTTTCGTTGCAGATGGTGCAACTTCAGAATGGTCGCAAGTTACCTCCGGTGTCCCTCAGGGTAGTATCTTAGGTCCTATGCTGTTCCTTCTTTTTATCAATGACCTCCCTGGCATCATTCTTCCATCAACATCAACCGGTCTGTATGCTGACGATACAAAGCTATACAAAGCTATAAGATCACGCCAGGATTGTGACCTTCTACGGGAATCGTTGTCGCTCGCTGACGATTGGAGCAAGCAATCCAATATTGACTTCAATGCATCTAAGTGTAAAGTTCTAACAATATCCCGCTGAAAAAGCCCGATTGAAACAAAGTACCACCTTCGTTCAACTGAACTGGTGCGTGTGGATAGTGAGGTTGACCTTGGAATTACTGTAACAAGAAAGTTATCTTGGAATCAACACATTATTCAAATTGTATCCAAGGCAAATAAAATGCTGGGCTTATTACGGAGAACGTGCCCCTTGTTAACAGATCGCGTTGCTCGTAGGACATTATACTTATCCTTAGTGAAATCCCAACTGGGTTATGCCACAGAAGTCTGGTCACCGTCTCAGTCCACCAACAATACCTACCTAGATCGAGAGGATTCAAAGGCGTGCCACACGATGGATCCTTCAAGTAAAGATAGGAGAGGTCTCATACAAAGTTCGTTTGTTGGCCCTTATTCTTCTGCCGCTATCTTACGATAGAGAGGTAAAGGACTTAACATTCTTCTTTAAAGCTGTGTACGGATATTATGATTTGAATATTTCTGATTACGTGTCATTCGTAAGCCACAGCCGTACTCGTAATTGTTTAAATCCTGGCCTAATGCTCGAAGTACCTTTGTGTACCGCATCGTTCCCCTTTGGAACCGTATGTGTAGAACTGCTAAACCTTAAGACTTAAGTAGCCTATCTATGTTCAGATCGTTTTTATCAAGAAAATATTTACATTTACTAATCTCTTGTTACGACGTAGACATGGCCTGTACTGTACGTGGTCATTACATCGAACTTGCCCATGTCATAGAGTTTAAAGTGTGAGATTAACATATGCTATTGCTTGATTATTTTATATTCACTTATAATTTTATATTCAATTGTTCCTTACATCATTTCAAGGTATTATTGCTATCACTAAATTTTTAAGCATGATAAATCTTAGCTTTGATTTTCGAGTTGGTGGCATATGTTTATTTATGACTTTAGTTATGTATAGTTTATTCTACATGTATTGTCTGTTGTTGTATCTTTAATCGGAGGAGTGCCTCGCATGGGACCTCGAGTCCCGTTCGCACTCCAATCGCTTGGTCACTATCCAATAAAATATTTAAAACAACATCTTGATGTCTACTGTTAACATGGAAATTGGGAAATTATCTACTTGGCTTCAGCCAAATCGATTATCTATCAATCTAAAGAAGACAAATTTTATTCTATTTAAGCCAAGGCAGGGGAAATTAACACGTGACTTTGTTCTGGAAATTAATAAGTCACATGTTGACCGAGTCAGTAAAGTAGTATTTCTTGATGTTGTACTTGATGAATGCCTGTCTGGGAAACCTCAGTCACATATCATTAATTTCAAATAAAATATCTAAGTCAGTGGGTATTATTTTTAGAGCAAGCTTTTGCTTATCCAAAGCTGCTTTACGTATTTCGTACTTTTCTTTGGTATACCCCTATATGCAGTACAGTGTTATTGTTTGGGGATCTACATATCCAGCGAATCTTGATCGTATTGTCAAACTCCAAAAACGAGTGGTTCGCTGCATATATAGACAACCATACGCTGCACATACTGATCCGTTATTTAAAGAATTGAAAATTCTGAAATTTGATGATATATATTTATTTAATGTAGGTATGTTTATGTTTTCGTATAACAATGACTTACTTCCTGATACTTTCCGTAATTTTTTTCAACAAGTTAATCGAATTCAGGGGCGGATCCAGGATTTTTCGTACGTTAGTCAAAGTTTTCAGATGTACAATCTAGTTTTGCGAGCGGTGAATGCGCGAGGCACCTGGGGGGGGGGGGTCTGTCCCCCAGGGTGTCTGTCCCCAGGAAATTTTTTATATTTAAACCTCAGAAACGCCATTTGCAGCACTCTGAAAGCAGCTTCAACAAAAAATTAACCTCATGAATTGGGAGATAATTATAGCAATTATCAGTCTCACTGACTCTCACAACTCGCTCCTTAGGGAAATTTAAAAGAGAAGTACTTGCAGAAATGTGATAAGTGTGGAAGATGTTTCATTTTATCAAATTACGGATTGCTAGTATTATGTTTAACTAACTCATGATGGTATTACACTCATTTATGTTGCCTAATAGCCTTGTTGAGTCATTGATCACTTGACTAGTAATCACTACAGTGTCATATTACTCAAATAAACATATATCAATATTAAAGTTTGAACATTCATCAATAAAACCTGACCTTTAGATCCTATGTATGCTGCATTAATGCATTTATATCGGTTATCCTCAATATTAATAGCCTCCTGAGTTCTGACGGTCCTTCAACCGCACAAATATGCAAATTTGTTGTGTAAATCAAAATTCATGGCTAAATCAAGATACGCGTATTTACATATGCGTGGCGTGCATCTTGTTCGCTTATAAATATTGTTATGCTGTCTAAAACGAAATAAAATTTACATATCACATTAAATTTACCTTATTGCACTTCAGAATAAAGATCTCGGCGCCAATACTTCTGCTCAAACAGTCAAACTGTAGTTCGTGCTACTCATAGCGCCTAGCAACTGCTCACTGAATCGAACTCTCCGATATTTAGCGTCGATTTTCCTCCCAAGATCAGCGCAACAGTCTTGTAAGACAGCTAAATCATTCACCGCAAATGCGGATTCAACCGTTTCATGAATACTACAAGGATGGGAGCAGCAGACATTTCTGAATTTTCCGTAGATATATATCTTTAAATTGAATCTTTCGACAAAGCTCCAACATGACACTTCGAATGAGCGCGCGCTCGGAAAGACTTTACCACGCGTGAAATATAATATTAATGATATTCAGACTAATGGGGCGCCCCTGACTTTTGTAAATCGGTCAGAACTCCCCACAGATCAGTCAAATTTGAAAAAAATCGCTTGTTTCCATGGAAATAAGCGTCTAGACCAATCAGAACACTGGATTTTGACTTTTTGACTGACCGACTTTGCGTATGTCAGCTGCTCATTGACTTGACTAAGCTCGTCGGCTCAGCCACTGTATGAAATTTGATCACTGGACTACAGTTCAATTGGAATGTTAATTGCTAGCGCTGCATGATAATAGATACTGGACTATTATAAAGTGCCACTGCATGATAAAAAATAACTGGACTATTGGTCGAATATTTAATGCTTTAATCAGACTTTAATTAAGTTTGTAATTTTTACGTTAGTCGCGTGACTGGTTTGACGACCCCTAGATCCGCCCCTGATCGAATTCATCAGTACAACACCCGAAACTCCGGATTACTCTATAACCCGTTTTGTAGGACTAATATCAGACGATTTTCTGTGTTTTATATCAAGGCTCAAAATTCTTCAATAACTTAAATTCAGATATCCGAAGCAATTTTCAATCGCATCTTTCCGAAACAAATCAAAAAATATCTTCTGAGTTTTGTTTAATCTGTTTGTAATAAATACTTTGTACTCTACTTTCTAGCGAACAGGATTTAAAATTTTAATGTTGTAAACTAGAAATACTTCTTTATGTTCTGACTACATGTATATTAATTGATAAATATTCCTAATTTTAAGGTGCCCTACACATTATAAGCGTTCTAAGCTTCTTGATGGATTTCCTTACCAAACTCCTAACACAGGTATCTCGTATTTAATACTTTTTCCTCTCTCGTAATTGTATTTTTTTGTATTGTATTTGTATGTATTTTTTGTTTGGTTAAAATTTAATAAATTGAAAATTGAAGTTTTGATGCAATATTGAACGCTAAATTTTATTTAGAAATGACTAAAATAGTGCAAATATACTATATGTAGAGAGCTCAAGATTGTTCAATTTTTAAGTTGGGTTACTATGCGTTGCAAGGAAGAAAATACAACTGACCAATCAGATGCGGTTTTGATTGAAAGCTGCATTTCATGTGATTTGTTGAAACGTGTACATTTGCATCTACCTTAAATCTGAATGTTTTTTTTAGGTGCTGATTATTATCTCATGAATATTTTGGTGGAATGGCAAGTAAATGAGGAATGCAGGTATTTCTAATGATGCAGAGCAACCAGTTTGCATCCAGTCAGGTTTGTATATATCTGACAAGGTAAGTTTATCAAGGTTTGCACACATCTCACAACACGTTAATAAAAACTGCGGTTTTGTAAATAATGATGTACCATTATATTTACTATAGTTGTTCTTCTTGTAACATATTTGCTAACGTGAGTCAAAAATTTTGACACTTCATGTCAGCACTTAGCCTACATTTTGTTTTTTTGCGAGATTTTGCCGAGTATGGTCTGTGCGGCAAGGCAGTGACTTGATGCCTTTCCTGAAAGTTGTTTATCTGATAACTTTCAATTTTCAGACTATGTCGTTCTAAGGTCAAGATTAAATTGCAGCGATGAAAAACAGTTTGTTTTTTTGCGAGATTTTGCAAACTATTTTACAACACATTGCTGCAAACAATCTTAAATACCTCGGAACATTTTATCTAGAGGATATTTGTGCAAATTGCTCAAATATGTCTACATTATTTATTTTCTATTTCGTTATATAGGTATTTCAATTATAGGTATCGCTCTAATATCTCTGAATTTTTAGAAAGATTACTAGTTCTGATCTTTCCGTTTTTCTTTTTTTCATTATTTTTCCAGACATAGATGAGTGTAAAAATCCGTCTCTATATTCATGCCATAGTGAATTTGATTGTGTTAATACTCTCAGCTCCTATGAATGTGTTTGTAACGGAAGGATAACGAATGGCAAATGCGAAGATGAAGGTATAGCTTAGATATATTTCTGTAAAAATACATATGCATGAGTGATTTCTAACATAAAAACTACCAACTATACACAAACAGTAACCACACACATTGCCTATTATTTACAAGCATAACTTGAATCGTGCTTTTCGTATTCAGTCGGGTAAATAGCACGTACTGTACACACCAGAGTAGTGTAGCAACGAGGGAAAGACTCTTCTACTTTAGGACCAATGTTGTAATTTTTTCAAAACTGAGATGAAAATTGGAGCGGGCCGGGGCCGTAAGTTTTAATGCTTTCATGCATCTATGACATAAATTATGCCAAATCTTTAGTTTTCTGATTATTATGCATAAAACGTGTTTAAAATGCATGAAATAACGTTTTTTCCACCCTAAAAATAAAAAAAAATTCCAAACAAGACGACGTCTTCCGGACTCCACTTGCTTGGGGCTGGCTACGCTTCTTTTGAAATTTAGAGACACTCTCAGAAACCTAGCTTTGGTTGCAGTTGCAACTAAATTGTTGGTAGCCTACGAACTTTATAAAGTAGTTTTTGATCCAGCAGATTCTTTTTAACATCTGTTTTAAGGTGGTGTTGGGAGCTACTCCGAGTAACTAATCATACTGGACAAGTAGAGAAAACTCTACTTGGCCCGGCTGGTATTCGAACCCACGACCACTAGTCTGATGCTCAACCTACTGAGCTACAGGGCAAGTTGAGAGTAGGTGGTTTGAAAGATGTTTTAATTTATAGTTTAATTATTTCCTATTTCAGGTTATACACGCTATCGTTTGAACTTGCGATTGAAAGACGAATACACCAATGCGCTTAGCAATAACGCCTCTCAAGAATTCAAGGCAATTGAGACCAGGATAACAAACGCGGTTTGTGGATTTAACAAAAATTTTCAGCCCCGGACACTATCTTTCGATTATTTGCTTTCTATCCTGCAATTTTGTATCATATCATTTAATTGTTGAAAAACACTCGGTGCGCAACAGTCAATACTGTTCTGAGCTCGAATTAGGGCAGAGAAATAGGTAGGCTAAGCGTACATGTATCTGCGCATAGTTTTGACTGTATACTATTTATAGTAGCCACTATTATTGTTATTGGTAACAATTGGTAAGTTAATTAAGCAAAACAGTGGGTATTATATGTGTTGTGTAGCCTAAACTTTCAATTGACTGATTCGAGATGAGCAATGATAGAACGATCACACTTTTGACTGCATCTTGACCTGTGGGGCTGTATGTTCTTTCTATTGGGTGTACTCGCGAATTTAAAAATTTAAAATTTAAAGGAAATTGCAGTTTTGGAAAGTGGAAGTACTGCTTGCGAAAAAAATGACGTCTGTTATCATAACGAATTTCATAATTTTTTTGAAGAATTTGTAGCCACATTTCCCATTTCACACAATGGGATCCTTTTACTACAAAATAATCAACAAAATACTCCATATGTTACATTATAGCAAAATACATTTTAAGTGATTGTGGAAATTGACTTTTAATTTAAACCTAAATACGTTATTTTCGCGAAACATCTTTTACAAAATAGATGATTTTGCGTTCGCGAAAAGCAAATCTATATTCATACATTCGAACCCTGCTGTACTGAGCATTTAGCTCGAGTTCTTGCAGCATTTAGGTGTCAAATTTGGCAGTATTAAACCTTTTCTCCACCAAGCGATTTTTTCCGCGAATCAAAAAAGTTCATATATAGAGACGAAAAACGACTGTTCGTCACAAATTGGCTTAGTGGAAAACTTGCTTTAGTGCTAAGCATGTTTACCCAGGCAACGCAAGTTGGACCTCTGTTGTGTATATGAGTCTATGCACCCATTGCCAACAAGTCAGCCCGACAATTTGGTCATATGCATGCGAAAACAATCAATTTCTAAGGAAATGAATAATGATAATAATTTAAAATTTGTATAGCATGACTAAAATAGTCACTGCAAAATGGAACATGTTAGACAGCTGTGGATTATCTATGTTGTTCAACAGCAGAAATGTTGACTTTGACTGTGTATAAAAATAATAACGAACTGTCTGTGCCAGTGTAGGTATAGTGGCAATAATATAGCTTTCGTTGCTAGGGATGCAACTACCTGAAAAATATATGGAGAATTTTCCCCGAGCTAACGGCGCGGAACGCTGTTCCGCGCGTTAGTCCAGGGCGAGGGTACTTTTTCCGCCCGGCTATTTAATTAATTAAACCCAGGGAAAGGAACGCACTAGCGAAGTCTAAAGTTTATCAAATATCGTGGACGCATGGCTATGATCCAAGGGTGGACATCCTCGCTGTTCTCAAAAATATGGCTGTTTTCCAGCAGCGGGATAAGCACACTGAGGATATTAAAGAAGTATTTCAATTTTCTAAAGCACATATTTGGAAAATCACGTTTCACACAATGAGCTTTGAAGCAATTTTTGTTTGAAAAAAATGTGAAGAATTGATTTGCTATGGAAAATCGTAAAATATAGGGTAAGTTTGCTTTGAATGTTTAATGTTTATGAATTTTGTTGCTTTAAATAATTTATTGTGTAAAACGTGCACTACTGTTTTCCTTTTCAATGAAGCTGTAAGTTTTCTAAATTACCCTGTTTAATTTAATTAAGAAAAAAGGCAAACGTAAAGGAGAGCAAATTAATTTGAAGACCTAACTGAAATTACTCAACAATTTAATTGAAGTAAAAACAGCTTATCGGCAAAAGCAGCTTAGTAAATAAAATGAACATTTCAAAAGATTTTACGAAGCGACTCAAGTTAAATTTTACATTAAATCAAAGCTCACCAAATCCAGAACGACTTACCTACGAGCACAGCACATATTTTGGAATTTCAATGCTATATTATATTTTCTGTGTTGGTGTTACGTTGTCAGGTGAATCTGTTTGTGATGTTACTCTGAGTGTATATCCACACCGGGCAAGCTTGGAAAATATGCCTGGCCAGGGTGGTTCGATTCGGAAGGTTCGATTCCAACCGTGGCCAGGCATATTTTTCAAGCTTGCCCAGTGTGGACATACACTCAGAGTAACATCACAAAAATCATCGTTATATAGTTAAAAAGCAATAACCTTTCGACAATTTTAGCAGTGTTGTACAAAAGTATAATAAAAATTAAAATTATCGTGTTGCCATTACAAAATTGACGTAAACGCGAGCCTGCGTACAGTGTTAATCAATTACTAATACTTCATGTTAAATCAATGTACGGAAAATATGGGATTTGGAAATTACTGCATTCATGAATTTCTAGTAGTATATAAAACAGGTAGTTGCATCCCTAGCCAACGAAAGCTTGTTCATGTAAAAACAATATTTTTTCAGATGGCGAAAGTGTACGAAAATAACGATGCTTATGATGGGATAGAAGTAAAAAAAATGAAGTAAGTTTCTATTTCGCGTTACACAAATTTTATTTTAAGATAAAGTATTTTCATCTTTTATAAAATCAAGAGGCTTAATTAATGATTGACTGGATCAGTAGTTACGGATTTTTCATGCATACAATTTTTAACATTTACATGTATCTCACAGTAGCCTGCCTTTTTCTAGTATAGTTGTAATTTTAAAGTTCATAGCAGAGCTTTGCTGTCACCCAAAGAGTTGATCGGTACGGTTCTTTTTTAGCACCGAAAGTTGGCATCGAGCATGCGCAGAAGTAAAGCTAATTTCGGTTTCCTACGTGCTGTTGCTTCGGAAAATAACAAAATGTCTCCCGAAGAAATATATCTTTATTTTCGTGCTAAGCGCGAACAAAAGCACTTCGTTTTTTCCTAATTTTATTCCAGTTCCATAATCAATCGAGATGTTTTTGTGATCTTGTTATAAGTTTTTCGTGACGCCACCGAACCAAGGTTTATGCACCTTCAAAAGACTGGGACCAAGATGAAAATTTCTGGAACCGCACAACTCTAGTTCATAGAAGTTGAGCGACATTTTTATTTTAGGAATGGAAGTGTTATCGCAGAAATTGAGTTGATATTCACTGACAAAAACACAAAAGGCATTAGCGAGTTACTGGAAGCCGTAAGAAACAATTCCTTTGGTGATTTTGATGTGGACCCAAATGCTCTTACAGTTGTTATCACAGGTACATGAGTATTTTTATCTAAGGTGGTGGTTTCATCTAGGAAATTGTACGTTTCTCGTCTCATGAGCAAATAGAGTTATTTTAATAATTTTAATATAAAGGAGCAAGTTATCTAGCATCTTGTAATTCAGTTTTATAAAATAAGTGTGATATAACAGGCGATTTGATTGGCTAATGCGAGTGCATTGTGACGCAATAATGCGCTGTGATCTGTGGCACTGTTTTGCCCTTTCTTTGTTTTTGCTCTTTCCCTCTTTATCACTGCTTTTTAGCCAAAAACATAAACAAAACTATAGAGCTTTTAAAATACAAAAATACCAGAAAGCAAGAAGGAATCGACCAAAGGAACAAAGCAAATTTCTATAGTTCTACGTGTAAAATTAACCGACTTGTCAATTCGTCAAATTTGTTGTTGTCTGGACCAGTTTTGGGTAAAACAGTGCAAAATAGCCGTGAAAAATAACAAATACATAAAAAAATGCAACAAAATCTGAATATACGTTATTTAGAAAGTACCTTCAATTCTTTTGATAACAATTGCTAGATATATTAAACAATTTTTCCGGCTTTATAACATCAAAAGTTTGCATATTGTTTTGGCAATTTTACTCCTGCGCTCGCTTAAAAATTCAAGCAACAATAAAAGCATGCGCGTGACGTCACTGAGTACATGTTAGAAGAATTTTAACGACCATTTTTTGAGTAAAACTGTTTACTATTTAATATCTTCTACGTATATTAAAAAATAAATATAAAACTCGTCGCGCGTTTATAGTGCGATAGTGCAAAATTTCGTATATATTATATAGCGTATAGGTGTTGGGAAATATGTTTACAAATTAAAAAAGAACGGTCGTCTGTATCAGTGTAGACAGTGTCAGTAATAGGAAAGCTGCCCATTGACAGAGATACAACTATCAGAAAAATGCGAGGAGAAATTCTACGTTTTGGGCGAAGGCCCAACTATAACTCCCCGACGACGGATCTTTAATACAAACATATAAAAATAGGTACGCTGAGCGTACATGCGCCCGCTAACAGTAAGGGTCGGCAGATCTAGCTTGAGTAGGTTCAAGATAGGCTATAGATTCAAATACACTCATTTCTTGCTCTCTATTGACATCCAATAGCTCTGAAGGTCGTAAACAGTTTTTATACCAGCAGCACACTAATATCAACAACTGATTTTGACTTCATGACTCGTGCCGGTTTCCTTGACAGAGTTATAACGATGCAGTTTGAATAAAAATATAGAAGAAATTTGGATTTCTGTCAGTCGGTAATTGCTCGTAAGTCGCCGTAAAGCTTTCGCTCTGTACTTTCCGCCATGATGAAAAATATAAAAAACGATAATTTCTTCACAAATAAAAGACAATAATTCGTTAGAAAATTAGTTCTTGTGGCAGTATGTTTTAGCCAATTATTAGTATATGGTGTAGACAGTGTTTCTTATTAGTAATAAGTTTATATTAACCGTTTAAATATCATAACAGAATGATGCAGGCATGCCCAACGTTGGCCAATGTTGTTATGTCTTATGATTTACGAAGAAAAACGTGAAAATGATTGAAAACTTGATATTATAAGGCTCTGCTCACAGGCACGGGGTATATAGCTATTAACTCAACCACGAAGGAAAACATCGAAATGACGTATAGTGTTGTATAGTGTCGTGTAGTCTTGTATAGCGTGGTATGGTCTTGTATAATAGTCGTCTATAGTTTAGTATAGTGTAGTATAATGTTGTATAGTCTTGCATAGTGTCAGATAGTCTTGTATAACGTTGTATAGTGTCGTACAGTGTCGTATAGCTACTAGTTGTTGTAGAGTCTTGTATGATGTTGTATAGTGTTGTACAGTGTTGTATAGTGTCGTATAGCCTTTATATATTGATATATAGTCTTTTATAACGTTATATAGTATACAAATAATGAATGTTTATGAGTGCAATGGTAAGAATATTTTCATGAGGTGAAAGATGGAATGTTCCATTCAAGGAGGCGCCAGCCGAGTTGAATGGAACATTCCATTTTTCACCGAATGAAAATATTCTTACCATTGCACGAAAAAATATTCATTATTTGTTTTATATAATACCAAAATAGATTAATAGATTCGTATGAGAAGCATTTTGAGGGATGCGATTTATCGAAAACACAAAGAGTGCAATTGTACTATACGTTTTATTTCATTGCACTCGCAGAGAGTGCAATGGAACGTATTCCATTGCACTCTTGAGAAATGGGATTTTCTATTCAATATTACGTGACCATAAACAGCCAATTAAACGATCAGAATTCAATAAGGTATTATATAATGTTGTATAGTGTCGTATAGCTTTGTATATTATAGTGTAGTGTCGTATAGTGTTGTATACTCTTGTAGAGTGTCATATAATCTCGTATAACTTTTTATATAGTGTCCTATAGTGTCGTATAGCCTTATATAGTGTTGTATAGTTTTGTATAACGTTGTATAGTGTTGTATAGTGTTGTATAGTGTCGTATAGTCTTATATATTATTGTATAATGTCGTATAGTCTTGTATAATTAACATTGTATAGTATCGTATAGCCTTATATAGGGCCGTATAGTGTTGCATAACGTTGTGTAGTGTTGTATAGTCTTCTTTAGTGCAGTATAGTGTCATGTATAATCTTGTGTAGTGTCATAATTTTTGTAGTCTTGGATAACGTTGTATAGTGTCGTATAACCTTGTAGATTGTTGCATAATCCTGTATAACGTTGTATACAGGGTGTATAAAAAAACAGATTTGAAATTGCTCTCAATTTCGCAAAACAGCTATTAGTATCCAGTTTTGATATATATATATATATATATAGTTTTGTTGGGTACTTACAATGTAGAATAATAAAATAAAAATCTCGAACTCAAATTTTGTAAACCAGGGGGGTGTGTCTTTTCCAACAAACTAAAAATGGCTTGCGCACGAAATTTAAAAGCCTTAAATTAATCATATTTTGAGTTGATAGATGGAAAATTTGTTGGTTTTTTAATTATTGCACAAAATTTCTGACAATTTGCAGAGCTTTAGTTTAAGCATTTAACTATTCATTTTTCTCTAAACAATTAGCCTTTCGCATGCTTAATTAATGCCTTTACCTAATTTGCATATTGCTGACATATGCAAATTAGACAAAGGCTTTAATTATCATGAAAATAGCCGCATTTTTTTAAGAATATATGCGAGTTTGCGTGAATAGTTAAAGGGCTTAAACTAAAGCAAATTGTCTGAACTTCTGTACATTAATTAAAAACCCAACAAACTTTCCATCAATTAACTTAAAATATGATTAAAGCTTGTAAATTTCGTGCGCAAGCCACGTTTAGTTTGTTGGAAAAGACACACCCCTCTGGTTCACAAAATTTGAGTTCGAGAAATTTTTTCATTTTTCTACATTATAAGTACCCAAAGAAGCTATATACATCAAAAACTGGATACTAGTAGCTGTTTTGCGAAATTAAGAGCAATTTCAAATCTGTTCAGGTTTTTTTTTATACACCCTGTAGTGTTGTATGGTGTCGTATAGCCTTTATATATTGTTATATAGTCTTGTATGAGGTTATATAGTGTTGTATAGTGTCGTATAGCCTTGTATATTATTGTGTAGTGTTGTATAGTGTTGTATAGTGTCGTAAGTCTTGTATAATGCTATATAGTGTCGTATAGTCTCGTATAGCCTTATATAGTGTCGTATAGTCTTGTAAGGCATATATTGTATAGTGTTGTATATGTAGCATTGTATAGTGTCGTAAGTTCATTAATAAGTTCACCTGCTAACAAGATATGTAGCTTTTGATAGTTCTTGGTAAAAAACATTATAAAGACAGACATGATATATAATAGTGTTATGCGTTTCCATTATTAATAGTGTGGTACATATATAATAGTGTTGTTATGGTATACATAATAATGTTATGTTTCCATTGTTTATAGTATTAACACTCCTTGGCTTTTTTGCATTATATTTATCCATTATTAATAGCGTTATTAACTGTGAGTCATTCCAGGTTATTACTCTAAAAGTGACCACACTTAACTTTGTGTCTAAGAATATTGCAAAATCCGCAAATTAACCTTAGTGACAATCGCATAATAGCTAAATGTGTGGAGGTAGCCCTGCGGGCCACATTATACATATATTGTCGGAGAAATGAGCCGTGGAATGACCCATAATTACTTAATTTCTATTAGCTACTATTGTTTGGAGTGCTCAGAAAATGGACCTGTTTCATTACAGAGAACTGTTTTCTTAATTTTAGATAATTATAGAATATTGTTGCAACAAATATGCACGCGATTGTTACAATAAACCACGATTTTCATTGTTTAAAAATTAAAATAGTGTTATGTTTCAATTAAAGTGTTATTTAGTTTTGAATTATCTACGGATTATAAACAGATTTTGAACAACCTAATCCAACGTTTCGGCCGCGAGGCAGCACTTTCCTTGCGTTAGTAACTTCTAGTCCAGTTTTATTCCAACGGACGGTATCGTTAATCCAGTTTTCATAATAATCATAAAATCATAACATAATTTTTTCATCGTCACAATATGAAATTTTGGCACACTCCTTGCCAAGATAAGCTGTTGGACGTCGGTTCCAGTCTCTTTCAATTGTTTTTATCTGCGCGATTATATGAAGCTGTCTGAAACACACTGAATTTAATTGTGCATGATAACTCAATCTTTTTTTAATTTTCTTCCACTCCAGTAGTCTGAAAGATGGATATACACATTAATACTTGTTTTTCGAGCAATATATATATATATATATATATATATATATATATATATATATATATATATATATATATATATATATATACGAGTAGGTTTGTGTATACGAAACGCAAAGAGTGCTCAATATCATAAAGATAGAGCAAATGTAGAATTTCGCTTACCTCAAATATATATATATATATATATATATATATATATATATATATATATATATATATATATATATATATATAT